CTCTATGCCTGTCTGTCTGTCTGTCTGTCTGTCTGCCTGTCTGCCTGTCTGTCTGCCTGTCTGTCTGTACCTGTCTGTCTTCATACCTGTCTGTCTGCCTGTCTCTCTGTACCTGTCTGTCTTCATACCTGTCTGTCTCTCCAACAGAAGAAAGGTGTGAAGAGGAAAGCCGACACCACCACTCCCACCACGTCCGCCATCTCCGCTGGTCGTGCCGACTCTCCGTCCGCTCAGGACACCAAACCGGCCAAACTAGGCTCGTCCCGCCGTGAGGCCGCCGCCCGCCCCGCCAAGACCCGCAGGGAGACGGGTGAGGAGGTGGCGGTGGGTGAGGTGGGAGCCGGTGGAGGGGGAGCCGGGGGAAGGAAGGCCGGTAAGCTGGGCGAGCAGATGAAACACTGCGACGCCATCCTGAAGGAGATGCTGTCGAAGAAACACGCCGCCTACGCCTGGCCCTTCTACAAGCCGGTGGACGCCGAGGCGCTGGAGCTGCACGACTACCACGACATCATCAAACACCCCATGGACCTCAGCACCGTCCGGGTAATGACATCATCACGTACAAAACGCACTACCATGACGTCACCACCACACACCTGTTGACTCTGGGTCAACACCTTTTATTTCTCTGATCACCACTTTGTTCTTCGTCGTCTCGCCACAACAGAGAACAACTGTTAACATTGTACTGTTATTCACCTCGATGCCCCCCCACTCTCTCCGGAGATATAGCCACACATCACCAGCAGGATCTCCTCTTCTGTCTGCGCACTAACTTTGGTTCTCAATGCAGCTTTTTAAAGTGTTTTAATTCTCCATATTTAATATCTGTCCTCTCTCCCAACAGAAAAAGATGGATAAAGGAGAGTACAGCGATCCTCAGAGCTTTGCCACTGACGTCAGGTTAATGTTCTCCAACTGTTACAAGTACAATCCTCCAGACCACGAGGTGGTGGCCATGGCCCGCAAGCTGCAGGTACGTACCTCCTCCAGAACCTTGGCAGCCGTCCCTCTTTGGTTGCGTGAGTTAATCTCTGTCTCTGCTCAGGACGTGTTCGAGATGCGTTTCGCTAAGATCCCAGATGAGGGCCTGGAGGCGTCGGTCCCATCTACAACACCATTGGTCAGTAAAAGCACCGCCTCCTCTGACAGCAGCAACAACTCCTCCTCCGACGAATCGTCCGACTCAGAGGAGGAGCGAGCCACGCGATTGGCTGAGCTACAGGAGCAGGTTGGTGCTGCCGACCAATCACAGGTCAAGAACATCCTGGTTTTCTTCTTTTTTAATATTGTAGATTTAATGAAAGTTAATCAATTGTGTTGATTTCATTTTTTCCTAAGAATACTGATCCTACATATTAACGTGTGATTGTAGATATTCATTGCTAGAATTATTCACTAGCTGAAGGCGCTCCCAAATATTGATCAGAAGTGATAGGTATTGATAATTAGTGTATTCCACCAGTTGAAGGCGGTGCACGAGCAGCTGGCTGTCCTGTCCCAGGCTCCGGTTAGCAAGCCAAAGAAGAAGAAAGAGAAGAAAGACAAGGAGAAGAAGAAAGAGAAGGAGAAAGACAAAGGGAACAAGGGCAAGATGGAGGAAGAGAAAAAGCCCAAGGCCGCCGCTCAGCAGCCTAAACCAGCCAATCAGAAGAAAGCGCCGGCTAGAAAAGCCAACAGCACGGTGACGGCCACGAGGTACGGTTCAATCAATCAGCTCCCTTCTTTTGGAAGTAGAACCGTCTTTAGACACTTGAGTTTGACCAATCAGAGTGACCCTCTGTGTGTTTCCAGGCAACCGAAGAAAGGCAGTAAGGCGTCCGGCGGCGGCTCAGCCAACGGAGATGACGGCGAGGAATCATCCCTGCCGATGTCGTACGACGAGAAGCGCCAGCTGAGTCTGGATATAAACCGGCTGCCGGGGGAGAAGCTGGGCCGCGTCGTCCACATCATCCAGTCCAGAGAACCGTCGCTGAGGGACTCCAACCCCGACGAGATCGAGATCGACTTCGAAACCCTCAAACCCTCCACACTCCGAGAACTGGAGCGCTACGTCAAATCCTGCCTGCAGAAGAAACAGAGGAAGCTACTGCGTAAGTACTGAGTGCTGCTGCGTCCTGTACCGGATCACTGACGCCACCTCACTACCGTTAGCCTCCACAACTACTACTGTCTGCCCCACACTGTCTGCCCCACACTGTCCCACACTGTC